ATATATATATCATTTTATCAGACACCTGCTCTCGCAGCACTATTTACTGTAGCAAAACCATAAAGCCAATGTTAAGTGTCCACCAAAAATTGACTGGACTTTTAAAAACATGGTACATATACACCAATGGAATATAACACAGCCATAAAAAAAGAAAAACCAATGTCCTTTGCAACAACACAGATGGAACTGGAGGCCATCATCCTAAGTGAACACAGAAGCAGAAAATCAAGTATCACATGTTCTCACTTCTAAGTGGGAATTAAACAAAAGTGACACATGGACACAAATATGGGAGAAATGGACTCTGGGGACTGCAAGTAGAGGGTGAGATAGGGGTGAGGGTTGAAAAATAACCTACTGGTCTGGGGTCCAATATTTGGGTGACAGATATGCTAGAAACTCAACCCCCACCATCACACGTAATACCCATTTAACAAATCAGCACATGTACCCCAAATCTAAAATTGTAAAAACTCCATCCTAAAATCATTAACAAGAGCTAGGTCTAGGTCATACTTAACTCTGAAACTGAAAAGATTTTAAAATTTGTGAACCTGACATTTTTCTAAAGACAACAATCTGTAAGGGCTAGGGGTTTCCAAAGATATGAACTTGAAGGCAAGGTATGGCTATATTCTTGAATACAGTAGTTAAGTTTCCGTATTTTTACCTTTTTACACTTTATTGGCCAATCCTAAGGTCTTTGGAGAAAATGTGCCTAAGTACCCTTTCAATTTATGACCTAACTCCATGCCATCTGTTCCCTCAGGATAAACTCACTTGTCCCACCAAATCCTTTGTGGGTTCTGTCATATGCACTCCTGCTCCAATCTACCTCAGTTGTGAGGATTACAACTGTGTGAGAAAGCACTTAAAAAATTACACAGCAGATGCTATTCAGTGTAATTCTCTTTGATAATACATTTTCTAGTTTTAATCGTATCTACAAGGTAGTATTAAAATATTGAAATTAATTTTTAGATGTCTCAAGTTCTCCCCTCCCCCAACAAAAAAATTTGGTCTATCAATATTTCTTTGAAAATCCTTTGCTCCTTTATGTGATGTCCCTTCAAGATGTTAGCACAGATGTCCAATAAAAACTCCACCTACTGTTGGGTTCTCACTTCTTTTTTTTTTTTTTTT